ACAAAAGCTTTTTATTTTGATATAGTTCCAATAGTTGATGTTTACTTTTGTTTCCCTTCCTTGAGGAGACATATCTAGAAAAATGCTGCTAAGGCCAATGTCAAAGAAATTATTGCTTATGGTTTTTTTCAATAGTTTTATGGTTTTACATCTTACATTTAGATCTTTACTCCATTTGGAGTTTAGTTTTGTTTGTGGTGTTAAAAAGTAGTCCAGTTTCATTCTTTTGCATGTAGCTGTTCAGTTTTCCCAGCGCCGTTTGTTGAAGAGACTGTCTTTTCCCTGTTGTATATTCTTCCGTCCTTCGTCCTAGATTGAACCATAAAAGTGTAGGTTTATTTCTTGGCTCTTTGCTCTGGTCTCTTGATCTATGTGTCTGTTTTTGTGCCATACTGTTTGAATTACTACAGCTTTGTAATATAATTTGAAATCTAGGACTGTGATACCTCTAGCTTTGTTCTTCTTTCTCAAGATAGCTTTGGATATTCGGGGTCTTTTGTGGTTCCATACAGACTTTGGAATTATTTGTTCTAGTTCCGTGAAAAATGCTTTTGGTATTTTGATAGGGATTGCACTGAATCTATAGATTGCTTTGGGTAGTATGGACATTTTAATGGTATTAATTCTTCAATTGTCTTCAATTTCTTTCATCAGTGTTTTATAGTTTTCAGAGATTAGATCTTTCACCTCCTTGGTTAAGTTAATTTCTTGGCATTTTACTTTATTTTTGGTGGAGTTGTATGTGAGATCATTTTCTTAATTTTCTTTCTGTCTCTTTAAATTTATTCAGTGGGACTAGTTTTTCTCTGTCCCTGAATGAAAACACAGTTCCCAAGACTGCTTTGGTTACTTTTAAGTAATAATTACTCAGTCATTTTAAGTTGTAATAGATACTTTCCATTCAGTGATTAAAACGTTCAGCCCAATATGATAGACTTTAGACTTGACTGACAGTTGTAACTTCTCCCTCCCCCAGCTTGAGCCAGGAGCAGATGGAAAGGCTTTGGGCAGGGTAGGGGGCTACAGCCCTCTGCTTGTGTCTCACCTCCTCCTCCTCTCTTTCTCTGCCAGTCTGTTGAGACAGGCGGCTGACTCTCAGAGCTGGCACAGCAAAGTGAAGCAGAGTAAGAGAGAGCGGGAGTGTTCTTATTTGAAGGATACTAGTGCCAGTTTTCCGGGCTTGGGAGCTGTTCCAGCCAGCTTTCTCCCATGGACACTTTTTGAGTTCTTTGGAGACTTCCCATCACCGGAACTCTCTGGGCTGCAGTGCTCTTCATGGGGTCAAATGCATCTCCGCTCTGGCTGGTTACTTGCTAAGTCTTCCCTGGTCCTGCAACATTAGGCACCCACTTCCAGCTTCTTTCTGCTTAAGGCCCCACAGTTTTCTCTCTAGGTGTCTTGGACACCAAGGACACTAGCTTCCACTTCCCAGGGCTCAGACCTTAACCCATGGCATCATCTAAGCCCTCTGAGTTTTCCAGGAAACCATTCTTATCTGACTTGGGAGCAGTATCTCTCACCTTCTTTTCTTTAGGAGCATGGATGGATTCACATGAAAATTCTCTTTCAAAAAACAAAAGCAAAAGTCTTTAGAATTTCTCTTTTGCATGATTCAGTGTACTCATCAATACCTGTAGAGAGTCAACCTTACTGTATCCAAATAAAAAATAAAACCAACCAAAATATCAAGAGGTCTCAAGGTAGAATGTAGACCATGACATATGAATTTAACTTAATATGAATATATGAATAACCTCACTGAAGGGGAAAGAGAAAGGACCTGACCTAAGTACTTTGGAAGACAGCTTTGTGACTAAATTCTGTGAGCTAAAGACAAAAATAACTGTACCTAAGTACCATGTTCTAATTGGTAGGTTTGTTTGTCACAGGAGTACTAGTTAGCAATTCTGACAACACGTTTAGGATTGATTATAAGAGGACCTAGGGTCAGTGACACTGCAGTGGCAGTGAGCATACCTACTACCCAGATATTGGTTTCTAAATACCATTTTCCAAGGTATTGGCTGATTTTAGGGCTTGGATAAGGAAAATAGTTTGGCATAACCTTGCAGAGCCAGAAAGTGAGAATGTTCTCAAGGAAACAAACAAACAAAAAAAGGTGGGGCATGTCAACATTACCCAGAGGCCAACATGAAAGACCTCCTAGTGGCCAAAGATGGAATGATTTGAGTAATAGAATAAATAATGATCATACCAGATTATAATCTAAAGAGCAAAGTAAATATCCATGAGTCCATACTGATAAATGATTGAATAAATAAATGTGGGGAGGGCACAGAGGGGTAAATCTTTACAGAAGAATCCCAAATAATATCTGTAGATACTTCCTGCATAATTTCCCTCCCCTTGAGAGTGGGCTAGGCTTAGTGACTCACTCCTAAAGAATATAGAATAGTAACATGACAATGGAGAAAGCTGGCAGATACCAACACCTTGACCACGTGATCAAGGTTAACTTCATCAGTGATTTCATGTTGCTATCATGTTTCCCAGTGTGGTTCTGTGGAAAGTGAAGTTCACCTCTGTGGTGTTCTTCCCCAAAACCCAAAACAGCAGTCTAATTATGAGAAAACACAAAGGATATTCTACAGTTTGAGGGACAATTTACCAAATACCAGACCATGAATCTTCAAAGGTGTCAAGGTCATGGGAAACAAAGAAGAGCTAAGAAACTGTCATAGGCTGATGGAGGCATGACAAGTAAATGCAACATGGCATCCTGGATTGGATTCTGGAAGAGAAAATAAAGGACATTAATGGAAAATGGCAAAATCCAAATAAAGACTATAGTTTAGTTAATAGTATAGTACCAATAGTAATTTCTGAATTTTAACACATGTACTGTGGTTATATAAGATGTTAGGGGAAGGTGGATGAGGTATACACAGGAACTCTCTGTAGGGTCTTTGCAAGTTTTCTGCAACTCGAAAATTATTCCAAAATTTGAAATTTATTTTCTAAAGTGTTCTTCTAATCTCCATCTCCCAACCCTTTTATACTCTCAGTGGAACATAGGGGTGGTAATGACAAGCCACCTAGTTTTCTAAACAGTATTTTTGGCAAGCCCAGCATGGTGGAGTCTAGTATCTCATTTTGGAGTATAATTTGTATTATCTTTGAGCTTCAGCTGAAAACTTCCATTTAAATTTCCTGTTACAATCACATATGTTTTAAAAGTGTCTAGAATGATATATAGAGGGGCCTGGCTGGCTCTGTCAGCAGAGCATGCAACTCTTGATCTCAGGGTTTTGAGTTCGAGCCCCACATTATGCATGGAATTTACTTATAAAAGAGAGACAAAATTTAGAATGATATACTAGATAAACCAAAACAAGGTTGCCTGTGAAGAAGTATACTTTTCCTCCAAGAGAAGAGACAGTCATTTCTCACAATTTATTTGTTCTATTGCACCTTCTGGAAGGTACCAGGTGACCGTATTATACCTTCAAATTTTTTAACTAGGGAAAAACTGCTTAGTTGTCTTACTCTTCTCTTGAATCATCATTCAAGGAGTCAGAAACTATTTCTGTAATGTTGTGGCTTCCTGAGAAAGATTCTTCCATATGTTCTATGTTGTGTTCATTGAAAGTTAAGAAGCAGCTTTTTCTTTTTTTTTTTTTTAACATTTATTCATTTTTGAGAGACAGAGCATGAGTGGGGGAGGAGCAGAGAGAGAGGGAGACACAGAATCTGAAGCAGGCTCCAGTTTCTGATCTGTCAGCACAGAGCCTGACACAGGGCTCAAACTCACTGACTATGAGATCATGATCTGAGCTGAAGTCGGACGCTTAACTGACTGAACCACCCGGGTGCCCCAAGAAGCCATGTTTTCTTCATCACAATATAATATCGTTTGCATTTGGGTTCTCCCTTGTTTCATCTTCACACATTTCAAAAAATGCTTGGGTTTTAGCAATGTGTCTGATAATTTGGTGTTCTTGGGTTGGGATTATTTCCACTATTGGGTACCTCAGTCAGTTAAGTGTCCAACTTCAGCTCAGGTCATGATCTCATGGTTCATGAGTTCGAGCCCTGTGTTGGGCTCTGTGCTGACGGCTTGGAGCCTGGAGCCTGCTTTGGATTATGTGTCTCCCTCTATCTCTGCCTCTGCCCTGCTCACATTCTGTCTCTCCCTCTCAAAAATAAATAAACATTAAAAAAAAAGTTTTTTAAAGAGTCATTAGAATGGACTTCCCTGAGCATTTTTACATTTCAGGAAGGGACCCCAAAAAGATCAGCTTTTTTATCTATCCAAGGGAGTTACCAGCCACAGCTTTATTCATACATTCATCACTCACTAACTACTCACTCTGTTCATACATAGCCTCTCAAGCCTTATGCACCTCCTTAAAAAGGACAGAATAAAACTGGTAGTTTCATTGACCCAGCTTCCAGTTAAACCAGCCTTAAATCCATTCTTGTGTTGGAGTTGGTAGTTTGTATCCAAAAAGGGCCAAGACAAGAGAGTCAGAAATGTCAGTCTCCAAGTGTGTAAATCTCCAGTTTCTCTGGGTCCCTATCCCCACCCAGATTACTGGGTAATTACTGTAGCAGAGCATAGTTGCCTGGCTTCCTTCCTTCCTTCCTTCCTTCCTTCCTTCCTTCCTTCCTTCCTTCCTTCCTTCCTTTTGAGGGAGGGAGGGAGAGAGAGAGTGAGAGAGAGAGAAAGAAAGTGAGCAGGGGAGGGGCAGAGAGATCATTCTAAGCAGGCTCTGCACTGTAGTGCAGAGCCTGATGGGGGCCTTGATCTTATGAACCATAAGATCATGACCTGAGTTGAAATCAAGAGTCCGGATGCTTAATCAACTGAGCCACGGTGGCTCCCCCTTGCCTGGCTTTCTAAAGTGCACTCTTCCAAACAGGATGCTAAACTTCTTTTTATTTCTGCAGATCTTCTGCTTTCTTGGTTGTTGAAAATTTTAAATAAACATGTTTTTTTAAGTTAACTAATTAAAGAAACATTCTTCTTTTCTTTTTAGCAAGTCTTTCCCCTTGTTTAACAGATGCGTCCCTCAAACACCTGAGTGCTATTCCTTGTTTGCATCTGTGTTGATAAATGATGTTGACACCCTCCATCAAATTCTACGTGGAATAATGTCCGGAAGAGACACGATCCTTGGTCTGTGTATCCTCGCATTAGGTAATTCTAAATTACTCTTCTTTCAGTGACTCTGCCAAAGTTTCTAGCACTTGTGTATGTTGTACAATGAAAATTAGCCTCTTCCAGATAAAACTTCACATATTTTCTTTATAAAATATGTTCAGTACTTCAGATTCAAGTGGAAGAAAGGACAATAAAATTAGGAAAACACCAGCTGGCTCTCTGCCAAGAGGCTCACCGAGTGTGGGTTGTCTTAATATAGTGGCCACGTTCCAATGCCTGGTCCTCAGCTCTGCCTGGGGATGGATATGCAGAGCAGGTTGCCAGTTTGCTAACTGGCCACAAAAAGCCCAGCCGTCACGGGGGCCAGAAGGCATGTCTTCCGCCCAGCATGCCCTTTCCCCACAGGCAAGCCAGATTAGAAGGCCACATGGTGAGCAAGGGAAGGAGGTGTGTGCGTTCATGTTAAATAGCATTAGAAGGCAGTGGCCTGAGAGAGCCAACTGCCTGCTTTGGGCTGTAGGCAGGTCAAGGCCTTGAGCTGGGACTTGCCTCTTCTGGGCATTTCTGGAAGCAGCTGCCCACTCTTGACCCTTTAACTTCCCACTTCAACTTGATGAGCCCCTTTAAGAGCTGGCTTTCTCTTTGAACAAGTTAATACATTCTGCTGTTGTGGGCAGTAGTAATGGCCTGCTCTCTACCCCTTCTCCAGTGGCTGCTTCCCAGCCTTTTTGTTGAAAGGAATTCTTTGATCAGCCATGATTCTGCCAGTTTACAGATCAAATTTTCCATAATTTCATTACCAAAAGGTTACTAATTCCTGAATACTTGGGAATGCTTAACTCATCACCATTATGTAACTTCCAGACTTCTGAGGACCCAGATGCGCCAGGCATTGTGCTTACCCTTAACCCATCAAAGCCTGTCAGAATCCTGTCACCATTTGTAGGAGGGGAAACTGAGGCTTAGAGAGGATAAGTGACTTGGCCAAAGTCAGATGGTGAGTAGAGTAGATGGCAGAGCTGAGACTCAACCCAGATATATCTAATCCCCAAACCCACATTCTTAACCACTACACCAAAGTGTCTATATGTAACCCTGATTTCTTTCTTTTTTTTTTTTAATGTTTATTTTTGAGAGAGACAGAGCATGAGTGGGAGAGGGGCAGAGAGAGAGAGAGACATAGATCCGAAGCAGACTCCAGGCTCTGAGCTATCAGTACAGAGCCCAATGTGGGGCTTGGACTCACAAACAATGAGAACATGACCTGGGACAAAGTCAGACACTTAACTGACTGAGTCACCCAGGTACCCCAAGTAATCCTGATTTCTTAGGAAAAATGTAAAATTATATATAAATTCACTGAAATATTTAACATAAATCCATAAGCTTAAAACCCCTAAATACTGGAAAATAATATGAAGATTTTTTTTACATATACAGCTTACCATATAATTGGAACCTTAACATTTTCACTTCTAAAGGCATTAATTTTTCATATTTAATAAGAATACCTGAAAACATTTAAAGTTAAAACTTTACATAAGCCCAATAAGAAGTCAAAAGAGTTAAAATGTGGTTTAAAAAAAAAAAAAGAAATGTTTATTTGGACTTAAAAAAACATTTTGGGTAGTTGGGAATAAGACCTGCTTTAAAAATACATTTTTTGGAGGGCATGTGGGTGGCTCAGTCAGTTGAGCATGTATCTTCTGCTCAGGTCATGATCTTGTGGTTTGTGGGTTTGAGCCCTATGTCGGGCTCTGTATTGACAGCTCAGACCCTGGAGCCTGCTTCAGATTCTATGTCTCCTTCTTTTTCTGCCCTTTCCCTGGCTCACATTCTGTCTCACTCTGTCTCTCAAAAATAAATAAATGTAAAAAAATTTTTTAAAACAAACTTTTTTTTATATAGTCTTCTAGCCTGTTTTTATTTATTTTTGATTTTTATTTCTGAGAAAGAGAGAGAGGCAGTGTGAGCAGCAGAGGATCAGAGAGAGAGGGAGACACAGAATCCGAAGTAGGCTCTAGGCCCTGAGCTAGCTGTCAGCACAGAGCCTGACTCAGGGCTTGAATCCACGAACATGAGATTATGACCTGAGCTGAAGTCAGACACTTAATCGACTGAGCCACCCAGGCGCCCCTAAAAGCAAACATTTTTTAATAAAAGAAGAATTGCTTCGATTTCAGAAACTGGCTTACTGTAGCAGACTGAACCTGTATATGTTTTAGAGAGTACCCTGGGTGTGTCTTGTTATTTTTGTTTACTACAAGTTTAAGCTATTTAGAGATTGAAGGAAATCCTCAGTCTTCCCTCTTCTGGGAGTCATTAAAGCCCTGCTGTCATTACCCTCACACCTGGGTTGCCCTGGAGTTTATATGTTTTGCTTAATTTTTCAGCCTTGTCTTTGGCCATGATGTTCACCTTCCGGTTCATCACCACCCTTCTGGTTCACATTTTCATTGCACTGATTATTTCGGGACTGCTGTGTAAGTATTTCTACTTGATTGATTTCTATTTTGTCAAAGGAAAAGCCTTTCCGTTATGTATGAAATTTACAAGTTGGCTTTTTTGAGCTACAGGGGTCTCAGAGGGTCTCCCATCCAACCCCGTCATTTCACATATGAGGAAACTCGGGCCCAGAGAGGACAAAGGGAGTTGTTTGTGTCACAGATAGTAGCAAGTTGGATGCCAGTCTGTTGTGTCTGCTGCACTTTGCTACTGCTTGGGTGGGTCTGCCCATCCAGAGCGATCCTGGTGGCCGTACCTTTAACAGACGACTCCACGTCTTCTGGAAGCCTTTAAAGGTCTTCTGAACTTTCACATCAACCATTGTTACGTGGGTCCCCACAGTTGTCATGCCCTGGCTCCCACCGCTCTGAAAAGACCCTGGCCCTGAGCTGGGGCAGGGTCCCGAAAAGCCTCTCCTGTACCTACTGGTTCCCATTTTGTGGCTGGAATGTGGGTCCCCCCAGGAGTTATCAGGAAAGGGGGTCCGAGAGGTAGGGGCACACAGGGAGTTCAAGGCAGCAGCTATTTACCAACTGGCATGGGACATTTTAACTTTTCGCAATCAGTATGACTGTAGAGTTCCATTCCCCTGAATCCGCCCTCAGCAACCTAGAGCCCCATGCCTCACGGGTGCACGGCGTGCCATGCTGAAGGACAGGACGGCAGCTCGTGATGGACACATGTCCACCCAGGACAAGTAAAGACGAATGTGACCTTCCTGTGGTCCCTGTGGTGGTGCCGTAGGCGGCATGCAGTGCTTAAACACAGAGCGTTTGCAGTATCAGAGTGACTACCCGGTCCTGTGACCACCAAACTGACCTCCCAGTTCCCCCAGGAGTTGTCACTGGCGCAGCTCGCTGGGCATTTCCAGGCTTTGGACTCTAATGTTGTTCCCTTGCCGTCCTGTCCATGCACTTTCCTCCCTGCTCGCGCCCAAGCGCAGTCTGTAGGCTGGGCCGACGGGATGCACCTGTGTTCTAGAATCATCCCCCCATGCCTCCCAAGGACAAGCAGCCACGGGGGGTCGGGGCGGTCCTTGGGGAGGCCACCCTGGCCCTGTCCAGCTCCTTCAGAGGGTCGTTTGTTGCACATCAGGCCCCAGGCCCGGGGGACCCACTGCCCGAGGCCGGCCACCCGGTGTGCGGTCAGCGTGCTGGGGGTGGAGGCGCTTACCCCGTGCGCGTGTGCTGAGTCCCCTGGTGTTTTGCTTTCTAGTTGTCTGTGGTGTCCTGTGGTGGCTGTACTACGACTATACCCATGACCTCAGCATAGAATTGGACACAGAAAGGGAGAATATGAAGTGTTTGCTGGGGTTTGCTATTGTATCTACAGTAATCACGGTAAGAAACGCTCTTCCAGCAGGAGGTCAAGGAGCCCGCCAGAACTCTGAAATCTAAACAATTGGATTTTAACCCCCCCCCCCCAAAATCAGAATTTGGTTTGGTTTTGTTTTTTAAATCTCAGAGTATACATACATAATAGTATGATGAATGCACATACGTGTTTAGGGCTTTCTCTCTTTTATTTGCAATACCTACGTAGGAATAAATCAAAACCTTCAAAAAATAGGGAACAAGAAGGCCTTGCCTTCTTTCCAAGTCATTTCTGCCATCTCGCAGAGGTTAATTTGCTACCTGCCCTGATGCATCTTTCTTGACTGCAGTAGAAGCATTTTTACCCCCATGTGACCATAAGGTGGACACCGTAGGCGGGCAGACTTACGACAGTGACGGTGCCTATTTCCTGTCGGTGAGCAGACTCCCACTTCCAGCCAATGGCTGCTCAGCTCCCTCCAGGGTGTGACAGCTCCCACTGCCCTTGAGTACAGAGAGCCCTTTATTTCCGAGCCTGCTGGCCCTGGGCTGAGTTTGGTTCTCAGAGAAGCCGCCTCTGCCTCCAGGAGCTCCCTAGTTGAAAACAGGCACATGCAGGGTGTGGAGGCAGCAGATACTGGTTGTCGCAGGGAGAGGTTGGCCGTTGAAAATCACTGAGGTCACCCTCCGGTGGCATTAAAAGGGCTAGAATCCCAAGGCCCTGTAGGGACTGTGGAGTTGATTTTAAGCGACCACAGCCAGCCTTGCCGGTGCCTGGCTTGCTAACCATTTTGCAGATGAGCAACGGCTAGGGTTTCCACAAGCCTTTTGATTGTTCCAGCAAACACAGGCTCTCTCAGATCCTTCAGTTGCCCTATTCGGTGATCTTCACATTTTCTCCTTTCTAGTGAGCTTTCAGGTTTGTGTTCTTCACATAAACTGCATCTCAGGGAGCAAGTGTGTGATTAAGTAAAGCTTCTGATTTGTCCTGACTCAGGCAGGGACCAGGCCCATAGCTTCTCCAGGGCCTGAAAAGGAGGCCGGAGAGAAAAGGACCTCCTATAACCCAGGCTGGTGCTGAGCTGTTGGACATGGAGGGGGGTGTGGGGAGCAGGGCTCCAAGATGAGGGGAGGCCCACCTTCTCCTTTAGCCTTCCCCAGAGCTTCCTGTGTCTCCAGGCACTGAACCACTAATGGCCACCAGACACCAGGGACAGGAGGCAGTTCTCTTCATTGAGGGCAAGGTTTGTGAGAAGAGAGGCTGTGAAAGCAGAGCGGCTGTCTTCACCAGTGTCTGTGAGGCCTGTTCGGGGGCTGGTACAGAGGGTAGAAACGAACCACAGCTCACACACCGTTCATTTGCACACCTGTCATGGCTACTTACTGAGCTCCCGCCAAGTGCTGGCTGCTGGGTAGTCATGTCCTCACAGTGGCCCTAGGTTGTTCGTTGTCATGTACTGAGTCCCTGTCACACCCTGGGCCCTGCACTAGGCAACAGAGCTAGCAAGATACAATACACAAATAGCACCTGCCCCACGACTAGATGAATCGCAGGGCAAGCAACATCATGACAGGACGCACCAGGGAAGATTCCAGCCCCTGTGGTCTGAGGCAGACATGCAGCCCATGGCCCACTGCCCACCGTGTCACCTCACAGAAATGATTTGGCCGTAGGCCTGGCTCTCCTTATCTGTCGAATGGGAATATTCCTGCAAGGTGCCCCAGAGGGCCACGGACTTCCCTCCCCCCTGGGGAGCATGTGCCAGAAAAGCTCGGCGTTCCCACAGAGAGCCAGCCCCGATGCTCCCTGACTGGAGACCCAGGGCTAGGAAGCTGGGCTGGCTCTGGGCCAAGAGAAAGCCATTTTCCACCTGCTTCTCCCCCCACCAGACCCCTGCACAAGGTGAGGGAAGGGAGACAGGGAGAGAACATCAGACTGTGTCCCTAGTCAGGTACCACTCCCTGTGTCCAGTGGAAAGAGGAGTTAACAGCTGCCCCCCTTCTCCCGCACTCTGCCTTTCTTACCCCCACTTTTCCAGAGAAGCAAAAGAAGAAAACCACATTAGCAAGAGGGGAATAGAAGCAGGAGAAAAGTCACCTTCAACCCTCACCCTTCTTGCTCACATTGGAGCCTGTCTCACGTCTCCCCCCACCCTGTCCCCATATGTTGGAGCCCAGCAGAGACCCTGAGAGTCTCATCTAGTGAAAGTTTCCCAGGGAGACCCTTGTCTGCTACCAGGACACTTGGCTGGGATGTGTTCCTGTCTCCTGAGTTCCCAGAAGCTGCCTCCCAAATCAACTTGAAAACATGGGTCGGGGCAGATGGGGGCTGCCTATGAATATTATTTCAGTAGCTTTACTCTCAGCACTAGCAGCAATGAAGAAAAGGGGGTGACTGGCATGAAATACACACCTCAGGGCATCTGCCTGGAGCACAGGCTGCGAGGCAGCTCCCTATAGCTTGGAGCCCAGGAGAGTGAAGCCAGGACATTGCCCCCAGTATGAGACAGCCCTGCTGCTCCACACAGCCTGCTCTCCCCCCCACCATCCCCGGAAGATAGTGCTGATCCTAGACTTCTAATGAGCATCCTTGCAGTGTACTTAGAATGTGAGAAGAGTATTTTATGCATATATATAACTTGTAAAACACACATGCATTTAAATATGCATATGTTAGCTTTCTACTCAGGAGTTAGAAGCCAAGTTTATTTGCCTAAAGATCATATCATTTTGCCTCATGACAATTTTAAATGAAAAAAAAAAGGTTCCTCTTTTCTGTTGATGGTGGTGGGCATTGAGAATGCAGAGCTGGAAATCCCTGCTTAGCCTTTACAACTTACAGGTGTCGGGACATCTTCCCTGGCCCCTCCGGCCACCCACAGCTGGGTCTGGAGGCTCTGTTTCCATTTAGTTTATCCCGCCTTCCTTCAACTTTCTCCCACTGGACTATAAACTCCTTTGAGCCAGGAATGCCCCCGTCCAGCTGGGGGAGAAAGGGTATCTTAGGCTAAAAGAATGGCCCAGGTGTGGCCACATGGACATGAGAGGGACCTTCAGAGGTTTCCCTTGGCAGATACAGGGAGGGGCCATGCCAGGAGGTTCCTGATCTGTGATGATAATGACTTTGATCTTTATCCAGAAGCATGGGGTGGGGGTGGGGGGTACCATAGAGGGATTTTGAACTGGGAGATGACATCATTGACTCTACTCTTTACAAAGTCCCTTTTAGCTGTGGTTTAGAGGAGGGAAAGAGGTAGGCATTGGGGACCAGAGGATTTAAAGACAGAGGCTAAGGATGAGGTTATTTGGGTGCAGATAACTGATAAGACTTGAGATAATTGATCAACTGTGGGAAGAGAGAGGAGGTTAGACTGAGAGATCTGTCAGGAGACTGACCTTGGGAGATCAGGATTGGGCCGTGCCCTGGGCCAGTTCTTAACTGTAAGGGATGGCTGTGCTTTCAGGGAGCTTAATCCAACGGGAAAGTCAGATAAGTAAACATTTGCGGTAGAAATGCTCAGTGCTCCACTTAGCAAGTTTGGGATAATATGGAATCAAACAAGAGGGGAACCATCCTTACTCTTGGAGAGTCCAGAAAAATCAGGGCCACTGGAATAGGGAATATAGAAGAAAGAGGAGGCGCTTCTATGAATATAATGAATTTGGTTCAGAATGAGTCAAATTTGGAGACACCGTATGACATCCACGGCCTGGCCAGTAACTGATGTGCTTACTCATCTAGCACCTAGAGAAAGGTGAGGCTGGAGGTTCTTATTTGAAGGTTATCAGCCTCTAGGAAGGATGCCAAGATGACAACGGAATAGGAGATGGTCCCCAAAGACTCTAGAAACAACTGAAGAGGTAGGAGGAGAGCCGGAAGAAAGTGCAGCCACAGAAGTCAAGGGAGGAGAATGTGGTAAGACCAGAGGAATGGGCAGCGCCTCCCATACCAGCTCCAGGCTAGGGTGTGGAAGTACGGTCAGCACGCAGAGACCAATCAGTGCAGAAGCTTGTGTATGAAGAGCATGAACGGATGGCAGAGGCTGGGCAGGGATGTGGAGGTGGGGGAGGGTGGTTTCTTTCTTGAATAAGAAATTTATATGAAGGAAGGCCAAAACCAGCAGAGAAGAAGGCACAGAAAGTTGCTTTGAGGCATAATCACTGTCCTTTCCCTTCATCCTTCCATTCCTTGCCTTTTGCAATCTTTGAACCTTCTCTGAGTATCTCGTGTATTGTGGGGAGGAAGTGAGAGAGAGAAGACAGTTCTCTGACCCTAGAGGACTTTCTTTGCATTTTCTCTTGTTCTCTGACAGACACTGTGTCTCAATCACGGTGAGAGCTGCAGGATCTAGCACAGGGTCCAGCACATCGTAGACACCCAAGTAGGATGTGAAAAAATTTCTGTTCAATTAGAATAAAAGTATGAATAGCTACCGTAAAGGAGCTGTTTGCTGATGTGTCAGTAAAATGTGAAGGTTTGCTTTAAGCCTTTCTCGGTTCTTCATTATTTTGAGTAATTTATTCTAACCCCTTTTTCACCAGGCAGTTCTGCTCAGCTTGATTTTTGTCCTCAGAAAGAGAATAACATTGACAGTTGAACTTTTCCAAGTCATAAATAAAGCCATCAGCAACTCTCCATTCCTGCTCTTCCAACCACTGTGGACTTTTGCCATCCTCATTTTCTTCTGGGTCCTCTGGGTGGCTGTGCTGCTGAGCCTGGGAACTGCAGGTAAGGGTAGTGGGTTCCATTGCCTTTGAGTTATGCATGGGAGGCCCGCCATTTTGGAACCATTGGCCTGTTTTTATAGGGACCAAGCCTCCCGTGAAACTGGAGGTGTCTGATGACAACAGTGATGGTGCGAGGGGCTCTGTCACGGGGAAGCAGGAAAATCCTTTTCTTCTTTTATACCAGCTTTAAAGAAGCTGAGTTTATTTCATGAAAGAGTAAATTCAGTAAGGACTGAAAGAGCTTTCGAAAAAACTACACTATGAACAAAAACCTCTAGAAAGAGTATTAGCGGGGCACCTGGGTGGCTCAGTTGGTTGAGCACCCAGTTTTAGTTCAGGCAGGTCATGATCTCACGGTTTGAGAGTTGGAGCCCTACATTGGGCTCACTGCTGTCGGCCTGTCAGCACAGATCCTGCTTTGGACCCTCTGTCTGTCTGTCTCCCACTCTCTCTCTGCCTCCCCCTCACTTATGCTGTCTCTCTCAAAAAAATAAAACCGTAAAAAAAAATTTTATAGAAAGAATAAATACTATCAAATGTCTCTGGATTTAGTTTTATCCAGGGTAATCTGCCAGCTCTTCTCAAATTGGGCCATCTAGAAGAGCCCAGGAAATGCCCTATTAAAAGTCTGGTGTGCTTGGTGGAGCCAGCTTAAGTTTAAAGCAAATGCATGTGGAAGTTCACGTGTACTGAATTCTCCACCTTCCTGTTATATCTGTACAGTGGCTTTCTGCCAGAGGCATTCCTCAGAATCAGCTAAGGTGCTTTATGAAAATACAGTGGCCTGGGTCCTGTCCTCAGAGATCCTGACTCACTTGGTTTGAGGTAGAGCAAGCTATATACTTTTGAAGCCCTGTAACAGAGCAAAGAAGTGCTATGTAAAGTATTGTCTGAGATGAGGAGCTTTGTCAGGATATATATCACTCCTTGGTGGAGAAAGTCTTGCTATGGGGGAAGAGAAGTCACCAGAAGGAAAGGACGGACTTAGTCAAGCGGTAGGTCTGTGTTCTGGCTCCGGCTGGTCATGTCACTGTGGGCTAGTCACAAACAGTGCGAGGACACGCAGCTGGCCTCACAGACACACTGCGAGCGGCCCCAGTCTGGATCTTCTCTACCTCCCGTGTTTGCTTTGGATAAGGCCCACATCCACACCTTGATGGGAGTACGGAAGAGTAAGTTGCTTTCTGAGACTGTCACCAGACAGATGAGAGCCACAGCAGATGTCAAATCGACAAGGCAAATGTAATTCCTTACCATTTCATCAAGCTTATTTGGTCGTAGACTCTTAGGAAACGGGTCTCTTCTCTCTGCTCCAGAGTAAACTGGCTCATTGGAGATTGCCTCGGGATTGTCAACAGGCTTGCTGGGAGACACAGCCAACACTTCCAGCCTCAGAGATGCTGTAGGAGCAGTCTCTCCCACTGTTCTGGAAGCTTCTGAAGGCCTGCAGTGAATGCAGAACAATGATCCCTGAAGAATCCTTGGTTAACCACACACAGGACTGTGATCAATCAGGCTGAGGTTGGGAGTAACAGAAGACTTAAAAAAAAAACACAAAAAAACAGTGGCTTCAATAAGATACAGGGTAATTTCTCTCTCACATAAACGAAGTCTGCAAGGAGGCGCCACGCCAGCATGGTCCTGTAGAGGTAAAGGACCTGGGCGCTGTCTTTCTTCCACTTCATTTCAGCACCTTGTGGCTGATGTCCTCTACCACCTGCTTCCTTCCACCTAGTAGCTGAATTGGACACTCGGGCTTCAACCAATGTCTTATTCCGGCCATTAGGAAGGGGGTGGGGAGGAAGGTAGGCATGCCCTCCCCCCCTCCCCGAAGTCAGGGCCACAATTCCACCCCCTCGGCCGCAACCTAGTTACCTGGCAGCACCTACCTGCAGCGGAGGGACAGGAGGTGCAGTGTCACTGTGGGCGGCCATGCGCTGTGCAAAAATTAGAGGTTCTTTTGCCAAGGAAGAGGGAAGAACAGATGTCGCGGAGCCGTTGGAAGGCTCAGTTAAGCGCAACAGTGAACAATTCCAGTTTGCCCACTTGCGGTCGTCTCAGTCCTGGTCAGAAGGGAGGGCAGCAGCCTTGGTACGTGCAGGAAAACACGCCTTTGCTGGCAAGTGCCCAAATTCCCGGCTCAGTTTTAGAGGCTTTCTTATGTCCTCTGTGTTAAGCATCGCGGTCCCCCTTTGTCGTACGTGCTGTTATGCTCCAGTTACGGGCGAGGGAATTGGAGGTCACACAGCTAGGAAGTGCCAGGCGCTCTCTGGCCCCGGAGCCCTCGGACAAGACCTGTGCTCTCTCCGCTGTCTCACATTTCCCGTGGCTGGGACACAGGATGGGCCTCCTCCATCTAACGTCAAGTCAGAGCAGTATTGCGATCACAGCAGCTGGCGGGCGGGTGTGGCCTGTGCCCATAACGGTGTGTTTGGGGTCTGTGGTTATGGGCCAGCACGGCAGGGCCAGAGGTCGAAGCCAGCTTGGGCTGGGAGTGAAGGGTGGCAGGAGGTGGCAGGGGGTGGCACACTGGGTGGTGGACTGTGGTACTTGAACCCTTGCCCTGAAGAATCACCGGAGAAAGGGTGAGGTCATGGGAAATATGGCTCAGGACCAGGGAAGGAGCTTCGTTCCTCCTCCAGCCTCTAGGGCACAGCCGCCCCCCCCCCCCCCACCGGTCCTTGTTGGCTGTGAGCGTGGCTGATGGAGGTTGTCCCCATGGTTCTCCCACAGTACTTTGGAGCAGGGCACATCCATTTGTTCTTGCTTCAATTCACAGGTGTTAGGGGCGTGTCCTGGGGCTGAGGCCCTGGGCGAGGCCCTGGAGAGGAGTGGTGGTCTCTCCTCATAGCATGTAGAGTCGAGCAGGACAGACTGACAGACATGAGCTCATGGTGACAGTTGATGAACGTCGCACTAGGAGGCATTTGGGGAGCTCCAAAAGCAGCGCAACGAGGCTCGAACCCACGTTGGGAGTCACGGTGGGCTTCTCAGAGGATGGGCTAGAAATCGCCAGATCAGAAAATGCAGAAAGAAGCCAGAGGGGATCCGACAGGGGTCACAGGCAAACGCCAGGAGAGGAGAAGGAGGGAGCCAGTCCTGGGAGTTGGGGTGCAGCTGGGGGGGAACAAGCCCGGGGCTGCCTCGGGCGTGAGCTCCCAGCCTGGCGCCCCTTCTGCTTCCCGTTAGGCCCGATTTGTGCCCAGGGCTTCAGGGGCACGAAGTAGCCTCTGCCCAGGACTCAGGGCGGGAGAGGCGAGGGACAAGCAGGTGATTCCGTGGGGCCGAAGGAGCACCGCAGAGGCCGGGTACTAACGTGCGGCCATTCTCAGTCAGTGGAAGGAGGGAACCAGGCGAGAGGCTGGGGAGCAGAAGGGCGGAAAAGCTGGGTTCCTGGGACCCGACAGAGGCAGGCGAGCTCACTGATCCTCCCCTTTACGGGAGAGAAGGCGTCACACAGAGCTGCTGCCTTCCCTCCTCCCTGGGCTCAGGCATCAGGACAAAACCAGACTGCTGTCCCCCCGGGCCACCTGACTCTCCTTTCCATTCACCTGTGGGCTGACCCAGGTGCACAGAACTCCTTTGTTTTCAAAGGCCTTTTCACTCCATGCCAGGCCACCACTCTGGGTCTGGGCGGGTCGTTTCTTTGCCTCATGTCATTTTGACCTTCAGGAGATGCCCCGGCTACACTTGAGGGAGGCTGGGGGCTGCCCTGAGAGCTTGTTAAAAGAAGCCGGGTGATGCGGATGGTTGGAGACGGGCACGCAGCGCCTCACCGTCTCCCTTCACGTCCCCTCAGGCAGTCACGGAATCCAGTTCTCCAGTGCTGTGGCGGTGTCCACACTGGGTGAGGACTGTGAGTTTTTTATCGTGGCAGATGGTTGAACTAATATTTTAATGTGTGAAAAAGAAAAAGATACAGAAAAAGTGAACTCGGGTTGTTTTTTGTCCAGATGAGCCATTTCTCCAGTGACTATAAATCAGCCTCTGAGCTAGTCGACAAATCCTGGCTTTGTTTGGGGCTGGTTTCAGCCCAGCAACGACGTGTATTAGCCCATCGGGACTTGTCTGTTACCGACAATGTGACAGTGACTACTAAAATCCACTGGAAAGAAGTGAAAACTGTGATAACCTTGGGAAGAGCAGGTTCAGGTGCCGGGAGAAGGAGCCCCACGTAGTCTCATTATGCCCGGTTGTCACTGTTGTCATTAAGGTGGTCTGGAAGCCCCAGGGTCAACGGTGCAAGAGACCCATTTGGGTGGACACTTTCTCACCCCGTGTGCTGCAGTTCGGTGATCACAGGGCTGGATTCGGCGTGCTCGGACAGGCCGGGGGTCGTGCTTAGAAAGGAGGCAGCAGGATCGGACAGCGGGTTTCCCATCAAGGGACTGAGGACCTAGGCCAGCTCTGGCCTTGCTTGTATGTTAATCCTCTGTGCTTCCCTTTTCCCATTTTTGCAATGGAAAATGATGCTTTCCCCGGGTTGCTTCACAGGGATTTGAGGAGGCTGAGACGAGGCCAGAGCTTTGCTTTGCAAATAAAGGCCCATATATGTTCCCTATACTGGGAATTACTGTTCACTAAAGAGCACTTGGTACTGGCTTCAGCTTTAGTCTCTGCTCTTCCTGGCATATTTGAGAGCACGGTTTAAAAGAAAATTGTCTTCTTTCTTAAGTTACGAGAGATCTAGAGAGTAATTCACATGAGTTCACAAAAACCTCCGAGCAGCCCAGACCTGTCCGAGGAACAGGTGGAGGGAACTTGCCCAAGAGAGATTTGAAACAGTTCCTGCTTTTTGGAAGTGTACAGTCCCTCTGGGAAGGTGCAAAGGGAAACAGTCTCCATGAAAATTTTTGTGCCTTTGCACCTGCTGTGACCTTCATCTGGAAACATCTCTTCCCAATCTGCACCTAACTTTCTACCCAATGTGACTTGGAAAGTTAGTCATTCTCCAAGAATTGTTTTGAGCATTATATTTCTTAGAAAATCTATAAGTTCCCC